CCTCCCAACTATTTGATGCTTCTTACGCCCCTGAAAGGAGCTTTGCATTATAAACCCTGCGATACAAACGAAGGGCATTCGCTCGAAACGTCGAAGTTCAAGTTATATTTTCCAGTAAGTTGTTTATCATTCAAAACGCAGTTGTCTGTTTTCTTCTCTACATATATACGTGGACACCGTTCTTTGGAAATTATTTAAATGGAGGAATTTGAAACAGTGAAGTAATACATTTTCACAATTAAACTTATCTGAAAGTTTATGCTACTCTAATTAGAATTTCCTCTTTTTAATAGATAAAACATTCAGATTATATGAATTTCAAGCGCATCGAACTCTACGATCGATCAATTTGCGGACCTTAAAAGAAAGCCATATTGAAAGCCAACGTTTCTCATCTAAGTCGGGAAAGTGGCAGTATTGGTTGGAAACAAGATACTTATCTACTTGGTAAACAAATTAGACACCTCCAACGCAAAGGCAACTATACGAAGGTTTAACTTTTGGAAATTCACAAGCTCCATGCATGTAATCAAGATTGTACTATATGGTTAATTAAACCATTTTAGATTGTTTTTCGTTGTAATATATAACAACTGAATTATGATAATGATTGTATCGTAGCAAAAGAAAAATTATACTTGACAAAAAAATTACACCTGTGCGCCACGGCTCATTCTTTTCAAGTACATGGACGTGACTAATAATTTTCGAGTTATAACTTTGGTCAAAAACGTCCGCGTTGCTTAGATATAGTAAGAGACCGCAATTTAATTTTACTGACAATTTGATAATGATCAAATTAATGCATTACCATGGCAGAAACTCTATTAACGAAAATCATAATAACATGCATGCTTACGCAAGGAGGGAGTTTGAAAAATTGCCTATATTGTCTTAAATTTACAAAACGACAACGGAAAATATGTTGTTAATGGACCATTTGCATTGTAGACTAAATTTTGATCTAGACAAAAATTTCATCACAGCTTGAAAGAGCATCGCAAAATTAGTAATATTCCAAAGTTTCATTACGAAATGTTGTAAAATGCGGATAATAATATGGCCTTGCGAAATTTGCAATTTTCAGTCATTTTGTATTACAAACTGGAAATTGATGCCCCAATACCCGATTAGGCTGTCAATTTCCCGTGCGTAATACTAAATGACTGAAAAACGGCAAACTTCGCATGGCTACATTATTCGCATTTTACAACATTTTGCAACGAAACTTAATTGGAATATTACTAATTTTGTGATGCTCTTTCAAGCTGTGGTGAAATTGTTGTCTAGATCAAAATTTAGTCTATAATTCAAATGGTCCATTGCATATTATACAGACAAGCCAATATAACAAGATGACAATTTCGGTTCTCCTATATCCGTACGCGGGAAATATTTATCGCGTTATAGACGATCGCCTTGTTGCGCTCGCCCAGAATTTCTCGAAATAACGATTGTAACAGTTGATATACACTGCAACAAAACAAATTCACCAACACTTGATTATAACGTTGGGAACCAACTCATTATTAATAAATTTCGATTGCGAGATCTCTTTCGGTAAATAACAAATTACTATATTAATAAGGGGGTCCAATACTAAAATTTTGACTTAATGGGTGAAATTTATGAATTTTCAAAAAACTCAAAATTAGGTTCTTTGAAGCCTTATCAAACATTACTGAGACTTTTATTGTAAAAAAACCATACTAAGTTAGGGAAAAATGACAAAATACCAAGGGCTTTGAATATTTCCGCCATAGCAACGCGCTTAGCAACCAAAGTTTGCTGTTTGAAATCGAGGTAAAAATTCTTTATAAAATAGTGATGTACAATTTTAGGCTACTAACATGAAGTATTAGCTGCACTATAGCCTTCCCTTACCGCTTGACAACCTTCTCTTCTCATCGTGGGCTTCTTTATCATTCTCAAAAATATCACAACAAGCGATTTTCTCTGTCTTTCTTTGTGATTTATTACATCAAATTTTTGCTTATTTCCGAATAATCTGCAATTGTTTCACTGTTATTATGGCAAGAGAGAATTCAAGGGCAAAATAAACGGCGATTTAGTGGAAATAGATTTGTTAAAAATGCAATGAAATCGTGTACAAATGGACCCACCAAAATTGTGCTAACAGTAAATATGACGCCGATGCTCAATCAACTTCCAGTGCAAGTGTTTCAGCTTCATCGCGAAAAATCAACGTTATAGAATCGCCAAATGCCACTAAAGAATCGCTACATGCAACAGGCTATCGTTTCATTGATATAGAAATTCTCAGTGAAGTTTTTCAGCAAGTAGTTTGCAAAGAATGTGGTGAATCCTCATCCCTTGTGCTTGAAGATAAAAAATTCGAACGTAAGGGTTGTGCATTTCATCTCCGTTTGCGATGCGAGGAATGTGGTTGGGATTTTTCGTTTTATTCTTCAAATAAGGTAAAGAAATCCTTTGAATAAAAGGCTTGTTTATGTCATGCGATCCATTGGTATTATTTGGTAAAGGACATGCCTCCATGAAAAGATTCTGTACTCACATGAACATGCCATCACCAGCATACCGAGATTGTAATATATAGCCCTATCAAAAGCTGCTAACTCTGTTGCTACCAAGTTTATGAATGATGCAGCTGTTGAGGTTCATGGTGAAAATCCTGGTCAAATAACCCAATGTGGTGTCTCGTGATGATACCTGGCAAAGACGAGGATATTCATCGCTCCATGGGTGTGTCACAACCTTATCCATTGACGGACACCTTGATTGACAAACTTCAAAACTATTATGGCATTGCCATTAGAAGTAATTGTGGAAATTTGGAGTGAATGAAGGCTGCAATTTATGCCAGCATTATCCATTGTGTCTCATCAAAGAAGCGAAATTTACATACTTGGTGTCTTGATGGTCCGGACAGCTGGTGCCGCTTTAATTTAAACAAGACAAGGCAAATAGTACTGACTTATATAAGTGTGGACATGGTCTTCCAGACAACATCATTGCTCAGATTAGGCCCATTTATGATAGACTAAGTAGTAATGATTTGTTGGTCAAATGTTTCGATGGGAAAACTCAAAACCAAAACGAATCGTTGAACGGCATGATTTGGAACAGGCTTCCGAAGAGAATTTTTGTGGGTGGCAATGTTCTGCAGTTGAGTGTGTATGATGCTGTTGCTCATTTCAACATGGGTTCAAGGGCTTCTGTTGATATCTTACAAGATGGGCTAGTTCTTGGCTACTACTTTGAAGAGGTTGTCAGCAAAGCTGATAAAAAGCATGTAAAGAAAGAAGATCATCGAGCTAAGCCGGATGTCAAAAAAGAGGAGGAAGGTGGTGTATGGCCAGAAAAAGAAGAGGGAAGATAAAAATCAGGAAACAGAAGTCAATACCTATGAGGCAGGGACCTTTTAACACTAAACTGGTCCATTCATAACGTTTATTAATCAATTGTAGGTCAATATTGTTCTGAAAATCAATATGTTCAACTTTAAAGCAGTTTTTCTCAAATTGCCGAAATCCGCCAATGGCCGTTATTGCATGCGCAATATCTCAAAAAGTATTTAAGCTATTGACTTCAAACTTTCAGTGTAGCTTCTGTATTGCATTCTCTTGGGGATGAACTAGAATCATAAAAATATATGCAATAGCATTAAAGTTGTGATAGTCAGTATCATGCCGATAATATGTATTTTCAATATTTTGTCCGCAAAAAATTTATTTTTGCTTCGATCACCATAGTTCTAGTTCATCCCCAAGAGTATGTGGTATACTATTAAATAAAAGTTATTTTAGGTTTTTATCATTCATATTTCTTGAGATATCATGTTTACAAATATGTTGATTTTTCACCACCGGGGGGTAATTAACATGGTAACCATGGCAACGGTAACTTTGAAAAACATTTTTTTATGTTAGTGGTACCATGCCCTAAAAACTGACCAAAGATGAACATCATAGCATTAAAACACACAAAAAAAAGTTTTTGAGTATTGGACCCCCTTAACGCCAGACGATTTTATTCGTCAACAGGAAACTCTGCAGCTTAGGGACCAATCATTATTAATGCCGGGTAGGGGGCCGGAAGAAATTTTGAGGGGCCACAAAATTTTTTTTACCAGTGAAGGGGGGGCCCAGAAAATATTTTGAACATGAAGGGGGGGGTCAAATTATAAAGTTTATGGAATAGTTTGTAACATGTAATATCAAAAGAGTAACGGATATATACAGTATACATACATACATACATTGAATAGTAATGCCCAATATATTGAACCGAAAAGTTGTGTTGTAACTACTGTATATGGAAATTGTCATCATCATCAGTAGAATTTGTCTGAAGGGTCATGTACTGCATTTGCAAATGCAGATTCAATTGACAGTTGTTGTCCTGTTTTATGCGGTTTATCAGTAGACCTCTTTGGCATGTTCTGTTTCTGCATGTTGTTGACAGTCTCTTCTGCCATCTCTTTGCTACCACCAGCAGGGCCTTTTTTAAGGATTTTCCCGTGGGGGGGGGCATTTTTTGAAAAGGGACCTTTCTGCGAGATAATATATTAGAGGGGGGTAGCAATGGCTGAAAGCCACGTGTGTGGCAAATATACCACGCATGAATGGGGGGTCTGGGGGTGTACTCCCCCAGAACATTTTTGAAATTTGACTCCC